ATGAGTACAGTAACGTATTTGTACTTCGTTACTTCCCATCTCTGGTTGTATGGTTTTTGTTTTCCATGTTGTTTTCCTTGTTTTTATTTTTAAGGAAAACTAAAACCATTATTTTTAATGAGTCTATTCTAAGTTTGTGACTAACACAGGGGCCAAGCAAGTAAGCCAAAAATCTTACAGAGGTGAGAATTTAAATCTACACAAACAGTCCAGTGAACAGGAAAACACCATTGTCTTCAAAGGGTTAACATCCCATGAGCGCTAGTAAATGTTAAGCAAGATATTTATATTAACTGTCTTTAATAAAGCAAACAGCAAATACGTGTGTTTTATTGTCATTACACACACACATGAATGAAAAATAATTTCACAAAGACAATCTGTCCTTTAAAGTAATATTGCTGAAACCCAAATCTGGTCACCCTATCAGCTTTTATTATGTTATGTTTGCAGGAAGGACATCCTGCATAAAAACTCTGCCAAGTCAACATGAAAGCTGTAACAACTTGCTGCAGCGCTTCAATTCTCTTCTTTAACAATAGACTTAAAACAGACTGACTTCCATATCCATGCTGCCATCCCTACCAAAATGTAACATGCAGGAATCTACACTAGATGCTTCAACATCTATGCATCGCCTCTTGTTTTAGCTTTCTGCCAGGCTCACTTGGGTTTAAAACATTCCTGCATTTTGCGCCATGATCTTTTTAAAAAAGAGACTTGATTTGTATTTCCAACAGACGATGGAGAAGAGGTGGTCCGTCATGCCTAACTGCTAATATTTACGAAGGAGCACAGAATGTATTGATGATGGAGTTTATGTAAAGGACCATAGCAGGATGAAAAGCAGACTGTCAGGAGAAACAGGAGCTACATTACAAAACTCAGCTTTAGTCTAAACAAATCTAATTTTATAAAAGAAAATTTTTTAAAAACAGATGATCTTTTTTTATTTGATAAGAAACATCAATCTAATCCCAGCTGATCTTTTTTCTTTAACAGCATTTTCTCTGAAGTGGTGACATAAGAGAGAAACCACCTCAAAAATTGGATGAGAGAACTCTGTCAATATCTCAGCAGATAAACCCCTTAGTCACACATAAGCTAGTGACGGATGACAGTCAGATAAAGCACTAAATCCTCTGACCTTATAAAAACACAGTAAATATAATCAGACCTCAGAAGCTCCCACCTGAAAAAGCTGCAGAGCGTTCTTGAACTCATTTTAGTAAACAAGGAGTTAAAGAAAATAAAGTAAAATCAGCCTGTTTCCACTGAAGGTAATGTTAAGATCAGTCT